ATGGCAGCTCATGACGCGATTCTGGCATCGCGGGTGAAGTACATTCGGACGGCGAACCGCAAAAGGTTGCCCGCGCCGTTCCAGAAAGACGATCTGGTGTATCTGAGCACTAAGAATATTCAGTTCGAGAAGGGACTGGCGCGAAAGTTACTACCCAAATTCATTGGACCCTACCGAGTCACACATGACTTCGGGAATTCCTCGTACCGGGTGAAACTACCCCCTAACCTGATTCAGAGGGGTCTTCACGACGTTTTCCACGCGTCCCTGTTGCGGATACATGTACCGAACGATGACCGGCGATTTCCTGGCCGGTTGGAGAACCAGTTGAACGTAGCGGACGCCGCCACGGATTCAGAATGGGCCGTGGAGCGAGTCGTTGGGCACTCCGGCAGTCGTCGACGAGCCCTCTTCGAAATAAAGTGGAGGTCGGGGGACCTGACCTGGATGCCGTATCAGCAAGTGAGTCAATTGAATATATTGCAGGATTACTTCGATGTGTTGGGGATCAACGACATATCCCAACTGCTGAAGGGGGCGAAGGAGGCTCCACCGATCGAGCTGCAGGTCAGAAGCACGCGGTTCGCGCAGATAGGGGAGGAGAAAAGTGGGACAAATAGGAACGGCGAGAGGGGTCTGCCGCCTCGTTTTCACCTCCTCCCTCTTCCCGTTCTATCCGACACCTCGATGACTGCCCCCCATACGCAAAACGAGTACGCAGGCAACATAGTCAGCGGTGGGACCAAGGCAGACGAGCCACTTACCCCGCAGCACCACGAGTTCAACCTGAAACATAAAGGGACCCTGAAGTGGGTCACGCCCAGCGTCCTAGTCGTCCATCTGAACGACGGCGATACGCTCCTCACGGCACACCAGTTCAAGCAGTGCCTGTTGTGGAACGAGGCCGTCAACAACCCAGACTTTGACGGCACCGTGTATGGCCGAGGACCGGTCGGCATCGCGGAGCTCGGGGCAGCTTGCAATATGTACGACGGCAAGAGCTGGTCGTTCGCTTCGGTGGATGAGAGCGGTGGGATCGTCTTTGCCGAGCAATACGTACCCACAGTCTACGACGGCCTGTGCTCGGATGACTACCTGGTTGGCCGTGTCGCCCCTGGCACTATCACCATCACGATTGCCGAATACGAAGAGGGCCGCGAAGCCATCATTGGACGCGACCGGGCAATTCGCCGAGCGAGAGAACGACGCCTCGCTGAGAAGGACACCCCCGTGTCGACTGAAGACTACGCGACTGGCGTGAACGGAGGAGCGATGATCGCTAAGCGCCGCCAGCGCATCGAAGAAGCGAAGGCAAATTGTTTGGCCGCGGAGAGAGCGGCGGTGGAGAGCGGGGCGGGGGGTGACGATGAGATGGTTTGAGCTCGCCGCGAGCGTCGAGCTGGAGGGCGTATGTAACGGAATGCTCCTCTTCCTGATTACCTTAACCTGCTGACTCCCCTGTGTGTGTGTGTGTTTGTTTGTGTAGATAATTCGATCGAGTATAAGTACTTAGTAGCGTAGGATCGGTACGCTAGTCAATTCAAGAAAGCTTATCCCTGTTACCCAACGGATTGACTACCCAATCTCTTGTGCCGGAACCCGTTCAAGGACGCTTCCGTCACAGCCACCCCTGATCCCTTAGCCCGCGGCTGTCCCATCGTGGTGATTGGAGTGTGATTCGCGCCCACCCACGGATTGTGGCGGTTGTACCTCGATCACCCAGTAAAAAGTTTTATAGCCCTCTGCCTACGTCGCTCCTGTCGCCCACGTCGCTTTTGCTGCCCACGTCTATTGTGCCCACGTCACCTCTTGTCCCACGATACCGTTCTCTACGCGTTCCCACGGCCTGCTGGGAGCCATTGACCTCGCGTCGTACCCACCGACCCGACGCCAGCCCAGGCAACGCCAACGCAGCGCCTCGGAGCCATCCCCGTTCTACACCACATCACCATTGACAGAACCGAGCGCGACCCCAAGCCCGATTGCACCACGAGCCGCATTCACGCTGCCCCAATTGATCACCCCACCAGTGTCCACCACTTCCCAACGTCCACCACCCCCGGCCCGACCTCCGCCCTTGATTCCGACGCAAACCATGCCCACTGTCGACATTACCCCGTTTTCCGGCCGCCGGGATGGTACCGATATGCCGACCGCTGACTGGGTGCGGGCAGTGCGGCAGGCGGTTGTTGACCGCCACTATGCAACGACTGAGGACCAGATACGAGCCGTCAACTACCACCTGAAACCGGACAGCCCTGCGGAAGACCACATGGTAGGTTTGGCACCAACAGCGCCAGAACGCGCGTCCCTCGACACGTACTTGGACGAACTCAAAGCAAAGTTTCCTGGGCTCAAACCAATACGGCGCACTGCAGCATCGTACGAGGCAGAGCTCCTAAAAACGCGGATCACGGTAGCGGAGCTGGCCATGGAAACGGTGAAGAGAGGGGAGATCGAGGTTTACGTGCAGGAGGACTTCGCCAATCAAGTCGAGGACCTGGCCATCCAGGCGAAGGTCAAGGACACGCTCGCGGGGTACCCGTTGTGGAAAGAGAATCAGCCGGGCATCATCATCAAAGCCCTCACGCCGGACCCCACCAACTGGTCGGACGTGGCAGCGAGGATCCGGGCGATTACTAATGCTGACATCCACGAGCTTGCAGTAGGACACCGAAACGCCGAGAACACGCTGCGAGAGCAACAACTCCTCAAGGCCAACATCAACAACCTCACGCGTAGTTTCAGCGCCTTCCGCCTATCGCCCACGTCTCACGTAGCCCCGAACCCTGCAATGGTACACCCTCGCCCCACGGTTATCCGGCCACAGAACTCCAGCCAGCCAGACCGCCCCCGCCAAGCCCAATTCGAGAAGGACTATGTTCCGTCAGCGGAAGAGGTCACGCACATCCGGGCAGCTTGCGAAAAGGTTATATCACTTGCGCAACCTGATACTCCACAAGGCCGGGTCACGTACAACCAACAGAAGGCCGCATGGGCGTCCCAGCACGATGCTGCGCGCGCCAACGGGAGCCAGCGCCTTTGGGAAACTGGGTACCCGCTTGCCCCTGGGACTCAAGCGCCGTGCAGCCGGGAGTGCTGGAAATGTGGACAACCCCGGCACGGAAACACGGAGTGCACCGCACCGTTCGTTCCAGGAGAAGAGAGACGCTTCAGATACCTCTGCCATACCTGGCTTGGCCAGACACGCACGGCCCCAGCCCCGGTGCCAGTTAACATGGCGGACTGGACGTTGATTGGAGCTCCCACAGAGGACGACCTCCGGGATTTTCAGGCCGGGCTGACACAGTAGGCGATGTGTCCGCCCATAACTCCGGTCATTTGGACGGACCGGAGAGTTCCCACCGTACTGTCGAAACAAATGTATTGTCTCATCTTGAACTCGAAACTGTCGACATGTACGCTGCGGACGAGCCTGAGAATCCACACCCCCTATTCAAACACGAAGTATCTCTCAAAGGACCAAAGGGCGAACGCGTGCGAGGCATCGCACTTTTTGACGGAGCGGCAGGAGCTGGAGTGCTGGATAGCACATGGTTTGCGGCGAGGAAACACCGGCTAGGCAAGATCTTGGCACCACGGAAACGGCTGAGGATGGCGAATGGTGCCGTGATACCATCGTCAGCACATTGGGAAGGGCCCATCGACGTCGGCGGAGTCGTGATAAGAGCGGAGTTCGAGGTGATTGACTCGGGTGGCGCATGGAACATCCTACTAGGGAAACCGCTGCTCCGGGCTCTGCGAGCAGTCCAGGACTTCAGGAACGACACCGTCTTAGTCGCGGATGAGCTGCAGGAACAGCTGTTACACAATACGGTGGGCGGCAAACGTCCAGTTCCAAAAGTATCGCGAGGGGGATGGCGAGAGCCGAGGCGAGAGGCCTCTGTGGGGGACGTGTTGTCCGCAACCTCCCCCCCAAGGCGAGTACAAACCAATGCCTCGATCATACAAGACAAGACTGATGTCGTTGCGAGTAACCGGACCAGACAAAGAATAGGCGATGACGGAGATGCCAATGACAGGATACAAGATGGGGAGAAGGACAGAAGAGGGGGAAAAGAGCCTACGGCGTCGCGTGTGAACACAACGGGGGATGTATTGTCCGCAATCTCCCCCGCGAGGCGAGTACTGCTTGACGTCCTCCCCCGATGGTGGGTTACTAACTACCCCACTTACGGTGACACCAAGGGCCGCCGGAGGAACGAGCACGCCAAGGAAGACCAGAGAAACGTACACGTGTCCGAGGCGCATGTGGCCTTCAAGGGGGTTGAGTCGTGCGCGATCACCCCCGCGAGGCGAGTCCAGATGACCCCTGCTTCCGAGACCAATACTGACGTGTTCGCGATGGAAACGCACACGGACCGCGGGAGCCTTTTCACACGCCTCACAGAGCCGTTCAAGGCCGAGCGCGTCCAGCAAATCGTCGCCCTCGTAGAACTCGGCCCGGACATATCGGCGGAGGAGAGAGAGACTGTGAGGGCACTGGTTGCAGAATACGCGGACATCTTCGCACTCGCAGTCAGCGAAGTGAAGGTGGTGCCGGGGCGGAAGTACTCGCCTAGGATCCCCGACGGACACGACTTTGGGACTAAAACCGTCAACCAGCGACCAATGTCACCGCCGCAGCTGGCGTTCCTCACGAAGCAGGTCGATGAGTTGGTTGCCGCTGGCATCCTTCGTCACATCGACGCTAAGGATGTGAGGTGTGTCAGCCCAATCACAATGGCACCGAAGGACCAACCGGAGGGGATCTGCATGGCCGAGCTACTCCACCAGTTGAACAACCAGTGTGTCGCGGCAGGATTACCGGGGCTGCGAGACATCCCCGCCCGACCAGACCAGTCGCACGCCACCCAGCCGAAGAAGCCAGTTCGCTGGCGGGTTTGCCATAACTTTGCCGAGATCAACAGGGTGTGCAAGGTCGTCCCGTTTCCGCAAGGTGACATCTGAGACAAACAGCGCCAATTGGCTGGTCACCGCTATGTTTCGACATTCGACTTCGCGTCGTTCCTGCCGCTCACTTCGCTGGACTTGGCTGCGAAGATAGTTGGGACGCCGAGCACATCCGATGCCTGAAACGTTCAGCATTGAAAGCCGGTATGCGGTAGACCAGTGCTTACTGCAACGGTCTGTACCCACTCGTTCTCCTCAATGACGAGCTTCGTGAGCGAGCCGTCCCGGCGTGTGTAAACGTACACCACACCGTGGTCGCTGCCAACGACGATCGCCCGATTCGAATCATGTAGAGCCACTTGTCGTAGGCGCCAGGTCTTTGTCACTGGAACTTTGAAGCGCTTGACAAGCTCGCCACCGCCATTGAGGCGATATAGAAGAACGCCGGTGGAGGGATCGCTTACACAGAAGATGCTGTTCGCCAAGTCGACCGCGACATCAGATCTGTCGCCTCTTTAGAACCGGAGAAACGAATGCAATAACCGCGTACATGCGACAACCCAATCTCAATGTGTCATCCTCGGAGCACAGAGTGCGACCGCGAATGTTGTATCTCCACAAATGGTGAGTTCTCTGCTGTTGTTCCGAATGAAAAAGCTCACATTACTCCACAGTAAAGTCCAGAAACCAACAGCTCGCGTTCATTATTGTGCATTGCCCCAAAGCCTAAAGCGCCAGGAACGCAACAGGGGATCTGCAAGGAAAACATCTCTTTCTCGGCCATCTTCGCTCCCAACATAACCATCTGCACGATGCCGCCATGATGGCACGCCGCCAGACGATTAGTGGCCGGATCGAAAGCAAGACCAGTCACTTCAGACGATCCAGCCATCTGGCGATTCCAGATCTCGTGAACTCGAACGCTGGACTTTCCCTGGAGTGTCTGAGAAGGCAAGGAGATAAAGAAAGGACTAGACATACGGTGTCTTCCAGAAGGCAGCATACAATGTATCCGCTCTGTGTGCCGTAAACCAGCGCCTCGCCCATGTTGTCCTCGCGCTTGATCCATTGCAACTTTGTTATCGCACCACGTACATCGGAAGTCACAACCACGACGTCAATCTCGCGCTCCTCTTGCAAATCCCACACCTTGAGACCGATGCCACCTAGAAACCTTCATTTGTGCCACTCAACGCGGCGGAAGCTGTAGGCCTTACCACCACTGGCTAAGAATCTGCCGTCTTCGCGAGCCTTGAGAGTATAGATAGCGCCGGTATGACCGGACAGCTTGCACTGGAGATGATAGTCTGACATGTCCGTCATGGTGTTGCGCATCAAGTGTAATCGAGTCTGAAGCTTCAAACGCCATCCGTTAAATGGCTTTCCCGCCCAGACAATGACGCCATCTGATTCGCCGTCTGCTTTGCACAAAGCAAGACAATCCTACCTAGTGTCCTTGTTCGGTATGATGAATATACCTACCAAGTGTCTTTGTTCGGTATGATTCAAATACGATTGCCACGCTGTGACGTATATAGACCTTCAGTTCCGTGCCAAGCACTCTGCATGGATCTTCCTTTCCGCGCGAAATGGGCTCTGCCCCCTCCACCTGTTGTGCTCCTACTCGGACAGACGGACATATCGGCGCCAACTTTCCCCACCCCCCTCATGCATGAAGACCTGGATTTGGGTCCTCCGCTTGCATTCACGGACAAGGCCATCAGCAAAGCGCCCAAGGTGGTGGACAAGAAGGCCAAGACTGTTACTTTCGACTCGTCCCCGAAACCCTCCGCTTGGGTTTACCCTCCGAGTGCGAACTCTGATTCGGATAGTGGATCGGATACAACGGCATCGATCTCGTTCATGATTCCTCTGGGTGGTCCCTCTCACGTCCGGGACTCAGACTTTCCGCTCTTGACTGGTTGGACGCAGGCTTTCATCGACCAGTTCCAGGTGCGCTCGGCCATGAGATGCTTTATTTTTGTTTACAACTCATTTTGTTCCCAAGACTGATGTCGAAAGTCTCGCTCAACGCAAGTTTCATCCCAAGCTTTCCTTGAAAGACCAGGATCCAAAGATCAAGGCCCAAGTCGTGGCGGAGGTAAGTTGATGCCCCAGCGGGACTGTGTCTAACCCTGCCCAGATTCTCAAGAAGTACCCCATTGTCGACAAGTTCATTGACCACTGGCCTCTTGAGAAGGTTCTTATCAGAATTTGCAAGAACTCGGCGGCGAAATGGAGAAGGTAGCTGCCCCAAAGACGGATCCAAATACGTAATGAATATATATGCACCACCATGTACATGGCCAGTAGAGATAAATATTTACGTCCAGAATCCCTTCCATTACACCTAAAGCTCTGCGTAGCCATAATTCTGTAAAATGTAATTAGAAAGATTCACCTTACAACAAAACCACTGCTGATCGCGCCCGCGACGTGGATCGTTGACGCCACGTGATCGCGTCGACCGCTCACACTTACAGCCAGACACAACAATTTTCATTGCACTGATACATAATACAAAGCAGTTTCAAGGTAGAAAAAGAATCATTATCTAACAAAAAACAATTGTAAGACAAAGCATCCCGATAGAACACAAAGCGTATGAACTACAAAGCGGCAAACTGTATAAATTGGTCTGGCGTCAGTCCCGCACTTGCTCACATTCCCCCTCCTCACCCCCACCCCCCAATTCCACGCGTTTGCCGCGGGAACAGCGATGTCAGACCACGACCACGATGTGGAGATGGGTCACCATCACAGTGCTACGTCGCCCTCTGCTCAGGCACTGCCATTCTTAAGTTGATCGAGCAATGATTGACGATTTATAGCGCATTCGAGTCTCCCATGATCAGGTTGTCTCCAGTAAACGCTCAGCGATGGCTGGTCCGGGGCAAGAGAGACTGGACGATGTGAGTGGCACATTTGAGCTCAGAAGTGATACTGATCTCTCGAAGGCACGTCGAAATGAAGACTTTCACAAGCAAGCAGCCGCGCACGCAAGGCAAGACCGTCGATTTGTAAATCAAGAGAACGAAACTCTCCGGCGTCAGCTCGCGACCTTTCAAAACAACTTTCGAGCCAGTGAAGAGGAGCGCCACCGTTTACAACAGTTCATCTTGGAGAGTCAGCGCAAGATTGCAGAGTTGGAGCGTGGTGAAGCGGATTTACATGGCCAGATCATGGATGATCAAGACCAACTGCAAAAATTGGTATGTCTGTCATGATCGCATTTGACGGGTGAATTATTGAGTCTGTACTACAGGCGGGAGAGGCAGCCGATGCTAGGCAAGTCCACGACAACGATGTCCGCGCCCTTCACAATCAGATTCACGCTCGAGAAGAGGAAGTGGAGCAACTTCGACAAACGATCAGGAGGAATGCGCGTTCGAAAGTGAGCAACAGTCCGACAGCAAAACGGCGTGGACGTGTCAGCACGGAGCTATTCAATCCCGGACGCCCGGCTTTGATTCAGCTCCCACTCGATCCTGCACCCGTTCCCGCTAGTGCTGGACCATCGCGGCCAACTGTAGACTTGGCTATCGCGGATGTTGCAAAATCGTTGGACGTCGATGCTGATGTGCTCTCCAAGTTAATGGGAGTAATGGAACTGGTGAATAATGGACGTGCCCGTGTGATGATTGGTTCGACAAACGGTGGAGGGAAACAGAGTAAGCGCAAAGCGCAGGAGAAAGCGGCCGTTGCTCCCCAAACAGGTGATCTAGTGAAAAAGGCACATGTAAGTTGCGATTCGCTATGACTGGGAAAAGATACTAACTGGTGTCAGGCCATGATGCGCCAGGTGACCTATCAAAGATTCGGCTGCGAGCAGGCCACAGACTTCATCTTCCACACGCCTGCAACGGAGGAAGAAGTGGAAGCTTTCGCCAACGATGACCAAGCCTGCATCCGCAAATGGCAGTTTGACTTCAGCGAGGGATATACCAGCTCCGCTTGGAATATGGCAGTGTTGGAGCGACTTGTTGCAGAAGCTGAGAAGGAAGATAACGACGGCATGGGCTACGTCCGAAAGGGTCTCATTCAGCGCGAGTTCCTCGCGTACATCGCTGCTGAGCAACTCGCCCGATACCGCGGCAATTGGAAGCAGTTCCAACCGAAGTGGGACCCGAGTAAGGATCGTATGGAGACCAGGGCTGAAGCGATTGCCCGTGGCCAAGTCATCTTGTTCCAGCGTCGGATGTCGTCCAAGACGATAAATGCTCAACACGATGTATGTGCTTCCTTTCGGAAACGATTCTTTGTCTGATCCAATCCACTAGAAATACAACCATCGTCACAACACCGTTCAGTCGACGATCGCCCTGAAGGAAGAGGACGGTGCAAACGATCTTGCGACTTGGAAGAGGATGTTGGATCTCTTGGTGTTGCTTGGTGCGAATGGAATGTCTGAGGAGGAGGAGACACCCGCAACCCACATGGGATCCAAGATTCGGACGTATAAGATTCTGCTGTGTTGGTGGCGGGAGCCCGTCATTGCGGATTACATGCGCATGGTGGACGTCCAAACGGCGCACTTCCAGACACTTCAAACTGGTGCAAAGCCCGCTCCTCGCGTTCGCGGACAGACGTACGGATCCAGAGCTGTCCCGAAAGGACTCCCGGAGAGTTTGTATAACAAAGACTGGCTCAAATCACTCTCCCCAAAGGAACTCAAGGAAGTGAAGGTGTCAAAGCAAGTATTCACGTTGTTTGTGGCGGCAACTGAGCGCATGGGATTTTAGAGTATATGTAGATATCGTAGTAGAGGTCAATCGCATCGCAATGAACAATCTCGATGCCCTGAGCGAATGGACCTCTATCAACGTCATACGTCTGATAGAAGTGAAGCAAGCGTCAACGATACCGGTGACAGACACCTGATAGCGAGCGAAGCCATGGAAGACCCTGAGAAGAGTCGGTTTGACAATGGTATAGTTCCGGTGGCAGACACCTGGAACCATGAGTACATCGTCGTTCGAGACAAGGGTGATCGTACACGTGAGGAGCACAATCACGTGCTTTGATCTTTGATCTCATCCTTTGCGACGCGTTCAGACTCAATCGAGTCTTAGCTCTCAAAGCACACATTCAAGGGCTCGATTACAGATTCACAAGTCTGAACACATTTCACTTGAGTTGTCACTATCTAATATGCACGTATACAAACAATATCTGAGTAAAAGCAAAGTACATAATCTCATCAGTCTGTCGATCCGCCAACGATACGGCGCACAGCATGAACTTCTTTCTCTTTAGCCTTAGTTCTCCCCTCTTTGATGCGCTCGAGCCCACTATGAATGCTCTTGATGTGTACATGAGCAGGGATCCTCGAACCTGTCAATCCAGGTGCAGCGACTCTTTCTCGAAGATTTTCGATATCGTCACTCATTTGGGTGAGGATTTGGAGTGCAGAGATAACGTGGACCAACGCTTGTTTGCGGTAGTTCCCAAGACCCTCCAAAAGCTTCAAATGATTCTGGTATCCACGCAGCTGTTTGCGGTTTCCGCCTAGCACAGTCCACAGATTGGACAATAGCTCGGTTTTGGCGGCAGAGAAGAAGATATCTTTGCGTGTGACGATCTCGTGGAGAACGGACAATTGTTCTTCGAGCTTGTTCAAGTTGTGCAGGTTGATCTCGAATTCCACAACGAGCCTTTGGAGAGTAAACGATAGATAGTTCATCGAGTCTTCAAATGTGTTGAGTATAACGTCCGCTTTTGGTCGATTCCATGGAATTAGCCTATTCCACAGTGCGAGGGCAAAGTTCTCTTCCGCGGCTTCAATGGCATGTAGAGCGTAATCATTGACTGCCATGATCCTGGGTAGTATATCAGCGAGTGCTAAGACGGAATCTGAGTTGACTTACCCATCCACTGCACCGGAGACTTTTGCGTTGAGTTTGTTCAAGGAGCGTCCAGTGAGTCGCGCGTCGTCGACAAAGGTGCGGAGAGCATCGGTCAATGCCTCGCGACTCGTGAGCTCGCTCACTCCGACCAAAATCACTAGATCCGTCATAGCTATCTCCGCTTTCTTCATTTGAAGTGCTAGGGAGGATCCGGAGGTCGATTCATCCAAAAGTTGCTCGATAGTCGAGGTCTGCAGGCTGATTAAGGACGGGAAATCTGCCCACTGTGGAGTTCCCTTGTTCGACAGAGATTGCGCAGGCACGCAGAGCATGGAGCTACTGAGTCCAGGAATCGAGCAAAGCGGCCGGAAAGCAGCCTGGATGGTATGTGACATGGCCCCGAAAAGGAAGGCAAGCATCCAGATGAACAGGAAAACTGTCAAAGGGATACGAAGGAGCAGGATAGCACCCTTGAAAACCCTGAAGATGTACAAGCCGGCGAATGCGCCGCCGTCAACGACGTGTTGCGTGGTTACGACCGGCTTAACATCGCACAAACTGGAGGTGCGTTGAACACGCTCGTATGGAGCTTCCACCAATCCATCCCGTACTCTTTGCGTACTTGCCATGAAGTGCGCTGTAGAACCAGCGACGCCGACAAAAAAGACGTGAGTTAGATGGTTCCAGTGACAAACACTTGGAAGCCGATATGGTTATTGTAGAGGGTAGATGATTCAAATGGCAGTCCAAGCCAATTTGTTGGTGGTTGAAAGAGAAGAGAGGTTCCGGTGGCAAACACCTGGAACCCATTGAGGACTTAAGTCTCGTTTGAGACAAAGAAGTGGGATGCGTCACGAGATCCATTGATGATCCATGGATCGTTTGATGATCGATGGATCATCAATGGATCATCCACGTGCTGCGATCTGACTTGCCTCGACCTCCTGACTTGCCCTTTGTCCTCCACCTCCATGAATCAACGCGGGAATAGCAGAAGGCAAGAACCCAGGCGTTTGCCGCCGAGTTCCGCTCGAGAACCAACGCGTTTGCCGCGCAGTTCTCCGCCTTCCGCTCCTACAATGTTGCCCAAGGTCAACTCTCATTGTCTGATTCCCGTCGCCCATTTGGACGCTATCGAGAAAGAGAGTCTCCCTGTGAGTAAACGTCTCCTCAAATGTTTTGAAATACGTCCTGACTTATCTGCAGCCCTCAGCATACTTTCACGGCGTCATCCGTAACGAGATCGGGGTCTTCGTCGTCTTCAACGCGGACTCTCCCGCTCTTTTTGATATCCCTCGCCCCCATAAAGACTCTGATGCATGTCCGGCACTATACTCGACGAGCTGGGCTAGCTATTCCCGTGCTTATCTATGCTGTGGACCACGTCGCCCGATCTTCGACGAGGACCTTCTTTCCGTTCTCGACATCGACTCCCGCTCCCTTCCGACGAGCAAAACCACGTCCTCGAGTGGATCACAATGGAGTCTCTCATCTGATCTCGTTGAGAAGTGGAGCGGTCTAGAAGGGTTTCTGTGCAAGGTCGTTACTGCTTTACGGTCCGAGGTGCAGGGACTTGTCCCAGCTGGGATCGTATTGCATGCGAAGCCTGCTGCTTATGGTTACTTGAACACATATGACGTTGAAGAAGACCTTCTCAGAGCCGTATATCACTCAAGAGACGCGTTCACCCCTCTTCTCGCTGCTATTGCACTCCATTTCGTTGCTTTGGATGGATCCAACCAGAACACGTCATGGAGAACGAGACTCATCCAGCAGCTCAATCTTCAGCACAGACTGTTGGACTCGTTGGAGGAGTTGGTTCAACGATTCCTCCGGCATCCAGCTGGAATGATCTTGGACCTTACTCTCCAAAGTGTCCAAGATGCCGACTGGCTCTTCGGTCTCCTGATCAATGGAACCGCCGTCATCAACCCCCCAATCTATCTCTTCCTGGGCAAAGGCGAAGAAGCTGTGAAACTGGCATCGCGTCTAGAGGCGTTCCCCTCCATGCAGAACATCCAATTGAATGTTCAGGCCTCGATCCGCGCTTTGAATCAATCACCGCCGAACCCGGTATCCGTCTTGAAATACGTCTTCGCTCCGAGGATCATGAGACGAGACGGAGTCTTCATTAACCCAGAGTACTACGAGACTTTGGAGAGACGACGACAGCAGTTCCCACCAGTTGAGGCCCACAGTGGCCAGAAGGAGGGAGAGAGTTTCACCGAGTTCTTTGCTCGGCGCAACGCGCGCAAGCTTGCGGAGGAAAGTCCGAAACAATTGCAAACTCGCCTCCAACGCGAAAACGCTGCGAGAAGCCAAAATTGCCCGGGCCGGAAAGGTGCCAGAGTTTTCATGTGGGAACAGACCGAAGGGTTCTACATCCGTCGACTGGTTCAACGCAATTGCGTTGAAGACGAATGGTCCGATTTCGCTCCCTCACAGCGGGTGTACGATTCCTTCTCCAACAAGTGGGATCTTTGCTCGCCACTCGACCCCGTGGCTCGAGCCGAACCGAGCGACGACAACGACAACGACAACGACGACTTCGCCGACATATATGGCAGGGAAGCTCCGCTTCAGGCGGGAGACTTCGATGCCGAGATGCCCGACGGACTTCCTCCTCAAGTGCAATCCACGCTTGGGGATACGACGGCTGTTCTCCAAAATCTCGACACCTACCACAAGGAAAACCGCGAAGATATACAGCTTCTGAACGCACCTATTGTGGATGTCGCAGACCGGAACCCTGTCAGAGCCACCCTCGAGTACCGTGTCGGGTTCACCGGCGAGCCACGCGAGCCACGAGATCTAGACGAGCTCAAGAGGCCAGAGCGCACGTTTGACGACTCTGAACTGATGGATGTCGGCTTGTGCCACCGCTTTCTTGGGTATGCGGGTTCTTCAAGGCCGCAGCCACTGAGCCATGCGGCTCGAGCTCTGATGCTTGCGCTCAAAGGCACTAAGCGTGTCAATGACCTTCCGCCCGACCTCTTTGATCTAGCAGACAATGCACTGCAACTTAACGTCTGGAGCAAGAAAGGTGTCGAGCTATTCGTATGGCGGCGTTTGAGCGGTCCAGCTCATTGTATGTTCGCGTACGTGTTGCATCCCGCCGAGGAAGGATCCACCGGTCGGAAGCTGTACGTTTCAGATGCCACCACCGCCATTCAAGTCGCCCGACTTCGTTGTTCCACTTGGGCGGCACTCATATCTTGCCTGTTCGATCTCGGGTGCGAGTTTCACATCGTCACTGAAGCTTCCACGTTCGCAGCATCGTCCTATCGACCGGATCAATACCAGTGTCGCAGTCTCGGAGTCCGCCCAGAGGATTACAATCCAGATGAGCAGGATCGTCTCATCTACTGGGACATGATGCGTTCGTTCCTTCTTTCCCCCCGTGGTCGACTTGCCCTCCAAGCAGGAGGGATTATCGCACGCCTAGCACGTCTGGTGATCGAAGATGCAGAGCTTGAGCTGAGATCTCATTTTGTCGATGTCGGGACCGCCGAGGAACGCATCGTGAATGGTGGCACATCGCTGTATCAGCATTGCTTAACTCAGGAAGAAGAAGATCTAGTTCTGGGCGTTTACAGCTTCGAAATGAGTAGGTTCTGTCTTTAACGATTCTACATTTGCTAATATCCGCCTCTTCAGACCAGCTGGATCCCAATGCTCGCAATGGGCATCAGGAGAAGCGCATTTCGTGGTGGCCTCAAGCAGGAGCATGGTATTCGTCTGGTTTGAGTGTTGGCTGGTGGACGCCGGATTGCGAGAGCTGGTTCCAAGGGATTCTGGATGAGATGAAGACCAACAAGGCTGCCGTAATCAACAACACCAACTGGAAGCAGCGAATCCGTGGCTACAGCGCTGCGGGTAAACTTGCCAAGAACCTCGAAGCTGTTCACGCTGATTTTATTGCAACCTTACCGTACGAAGATATATAGATACATACCATCGTAATCATCTGTACCTTTTATAATACGCTATCAACTGCTTTCATGTGTGCTGAAACGACGGGCAACGGACGAGCGACCGATGAGCGACCGATCATTCGTGGATAGATAAAATGGGACATGATATCGGAGATATCGGGGCGGACTTTTTTCGGACCGCGATATCTCAGATATCATAAACGCTTATCTTTGACTTTATTTGGAGGATATTGAGCCCCAAATCGTGTGCCACCATCTGTCAATAAAAATTGGACCCTTATATTCGACCAAACATGTCTCAAAAAGTGCCCGACATTTTGGGATATTATATCTCATCAATACTGACCCCCTTTTTGGGACACAATAACTAATGTAACCGGAATCCGATCAATGACCATTTTTCTTAAGATAAAGAGTTGCTGATTGTGGCTCTGTTTTTGTGTTACAATATTTAAAATAAAAATCTATCTTTATGGCTCATTTTTTTAAACTAGAGCGCCGACTGCGTCGGCAGCAGCCTTGCTTCCATGTCACGTGTAGCATCTCACTTGGTGTCCGCCTTCGCACTCACAAAATTTCATTTCACTACGTTAACATACAACCACATTCATTACGTCCTCGCTCTTTTCGTCGGGCTCGAACCCAAGTCGACTTGAGCAGCCCAACGCCGTTTTTTCGGGCTCACAGCAAGGCGTCTCTGTTCCTCAATGACCCGGATTTTGACTACATCCGCTGTAAAGTGGTCACGTTTGTGGTCCTTGAACGCCCAGTGGGTCAGCTCGAACGTGAGAGCCACCGTCGCGCCAGGTAGCAGCTTCATGTACTCTTCCGGCTCCATCAAGTTCCCGCCGAATGTGTAGGCCGGCAATCTATTGATCACCAATTTGCCATCGGCCTCGATGTCTTCGAGTGCTGCGCGCGCCGCCTCGTGTTTCGTAGGCCAACTCCCGAAGTCATAACCTGCACCATCATCAGATGTGTTACGTTGGCACGTTTCCGCTCTTACTTCCGTCGTCGTCAGGTCCATCCTTCTCCTTCATCGGTTCGTCAGCGCTCCGTCCGACAGCCTCCTTTTTACACACTCACCACAAAGATAGCATGGCGGCATTTGAAGCCCGCCTTTCCCACCTCAAACATACCAGACTCGGCTCCATATCCCGCGGTTCTCGCTTCGTCCAATATCTTCTTCAAATTCTTCATCCCTTTGGTCCAATCTTTGGCGTACTCACGGTCGGAAGGCGACACCGCACGCAGATTCATCTTGATGTCCTTGAATTGTTGAACGTATTGCCGCGGCCCCGACCATCCCTGGTCAGGGGATACCCAAGTGTCGTTCTCAGCTAGCACAGCAATAATGCTAAGCTCCGCCATTGTTGCGCCGGGCACACTCTCGCCGTCGCCTCCATCCGAAGCGTTCTCGTTGGCAGCGGCAGATACCTCTCGATCTTCGTCTGCTGCACGTACGTCGTCCATTGAAGCCTTTGTCACCAGCAAGTTATCGTTCCCGCACTTGCTCCACTCGACGAGTGTATTTACGTCTGTCTGGGGGAGGAAGAACGGGCTGTCGACAATGTCGGGGCGGATGGATCTTGTCGCGGAAGAAGACATTGTTGTTGTCGAAAGCAACAAGCTGATGTCTCACAATTTTCCGATCGGCCCCTTTTATATGTGTCAAGGTCCCTCCAGTCACGTTT